CGCAATGATGCACATTTATTAGTGGTATGGAAAATTTAGCTTCACTGTGTCGTTATGTTCGATTTGTAACTTTTAGATTTGTGGCCAAAGTGTAGAAAAGATCAATGATTTGTTACAATTTCAAAATAAGAAACCTGTTTTAGCGGAAGTTTTTAGACCAAATTTGGTTGTCAAACAAAGCCAAGTTGTGTCGTGTTCATTATCTAAAGAGAATAGGTATGCCAATGGCTCAAGAACACAATTTCATATTCTTACTGTATATTTTAGAACAACAGTTGCACCGAAAGCTGGACCTGTATTACTCTCATTGGAAGAAGATCGATGGAAGGACATCGCGTGGTTATCTACCAACAATTTTAGTGACGAGAAGATACAAATGGAATTCGTTGGTGACTGTATTCGCTGCATGACTATATGTATCGATCCTGAAAGTGGTAAGCAGGAAAATTAAATTGTTTTTACAAAATCAAAGTATTGTAAAGGAAATTTTCGTGAGGACCGAGAACCATGGTTATCACTCTCCACTTATAGACGAGTTATCAGTGAAAGGGAAGAAGATTCAAAAACATTTAAAAAGGATAGAATAGGGAAGACATGGAAAGGCCGAGGTCCATTATTTGGTCGTTTATACAACGTTTCTATGAAGATAGACCAAATAAGATGGATCTATTTGGAAGGATTGCATTTTGAAACTGAAAGAGCATAGAGATTCCATCTTTGTGTTGTTTTCATAATAACAATTGAGACAATCTGTTTGAAGACATTTTATGATCCAATCAAAACCACTACAAACTACATGACAATTCAATGAAAGACAACTCTATTTGATGTCTTCGTCTGTTATCAGTCCTTGGATAGTAACACTGCTCTCCGTTAGAGATGCCTGATTTCCAACTCTACTCATGTCCTCCTTTTGACAATCTTCATCTACTGGCAAAATCAGGTTCAAAAACACAGCTATAAATGCACCGATACAGAAACCAGTGGACATAATAATATCAATGCCTTGTATGAGCCCTTGAAGTGCACTGTTTTGTTCAACACTGGGAATAACAGAAGAAAACCACTCAGGCAACAATGTTGCACCAAGTCCAATAGAAAGAGTACATGCAACAATGAAACGAGATCTTCTGGTCCAATCCACGAAACAAAGGATACGAATGCCAGAAGTGACTACATTTGCAAATAGAAATGTAGTCATCCCTCCAAGCACGGCATCTGGTATTGCCACAAATAAGGCAGATATCTTAGAAAATATTCCAAAAACAATAAGAAACAGACAACACCAATATCCAGCCCATATATTCGCACAACGAGTCATTGCAATCACTCCATTGTTTTGTGCAAAGGTACTGTAAGGAAAAGTGGTCATCAGTGCTCCAAGAAATGCATTCAAACCATCTGCCAAAATACCTCCCTGCAAGCGTCCATTGGCCTCTTTTCCAATGATAGGCAACTGAGAAGCTTCCATACTGGCAGTAACATCACCCATAGCTTCAATAGCTAGCACCACAAACACTATCAATAATGGAATAATGGCTGGAGGATAGAATCGAATAGGAAAAGTTTTGGTCCATAGAAATGTGATTACAGGAGCGCCCTGAACAGATTCTATATTGGTATAATTAAGAACTGAGGCAACAAGTAATCCAAGTAAGAAGCCAATCATAATTTCTGCTGTGCGCATAAATGGCGAACCAAATATCTCAATCACTATGATGGTCAAAAAGACAATGGAGCCCAATCCAATCCATTTTGCATCTCCAAAAGGATATTTCTGATAAGCGTATTGAGAAGACGGGCAAATGCTCAAACTGGATGGAAGGATAGCAGATATGTTTTCAACTCCAAGAGCTTCCAAATTAGAAACTGCTCTAGAGTAATTATAACAAGAACCGCTACCTCCTGCCCAATCTTGGAAACCTGATGCTACCAATGAAGCTCCAATCAACACCACAACGGAACCCGTCACGAGGGGAGGAAATACCCTTCTTAAAATTGTGAGAGGAAGAAAACTTATAGCAACCTCTAACCAGCAACAAACCATGATTGTGCCTAACATAGCTCCAAAGGCTTCAGGACAAGGACCTTCCAAGGAGCAGTTATATTCCCCATGCTTTCGAATAGTAGAAAATGCTGCTTGGGCCACCGGCAGGGTAGTGAAACTAGTACCAACTACACTAATAAGCCCAGTTCCTAGTTGATATCCAGTTTTTCTTATCTTCAATCCCGTTATCTGAATGATAGAGAGAATGCCTGAAGCAATAAGAGCAGAAGCAACCTATGAAGCAAAAAGACATCCATCATAGCCAAAATACAGCCACAAGAATCAACAAACCATATAGGTGCGATAAGAATCGTCCAAGTTCAAGTTGTTGCTTCCCGATCCAGATAGTATCAATGGAACCGTAACAATACCTCCCATCATTGCCTATAGAAAATTTTCAAAAGATAAACAAATAGCATTAGAAAAGAAGGCAAACCAAAGCATGCTGAAAGCCAACAATGGCTGCTGCCAAGATAGGCAGTTCTTCCTTATGTGCAAGAAAAGGAGGAGTTGTCTTAGAATGGAACAAATAGGGAATCCTTGGAGTAAAGAGTCTTCCATATTCATAATTCCCTATCCAACCATGAAGAGTTGTCACTTTTTGTACGATATGTTGATAAACTTGTTTCAATCTGTTTTTGCTTTTTGTCTGCATAAATGTGAATGAACAATTTCTTTTCCGTTGTGATTGAGATTTCTTGATATGCTCAAGCAATTCAGTCATGGAAAGACTCGAGTTCGAGTTGCAAAGGTCAGTATTGATAGTTACTTTTGTAACCCTATAAGGAAAGTATCAGAAAAAGGTCTCGAGACCATCGGCTACATACACGAAGCTGTTCCAAGAGTTTATGATAGAAGTATCGCTTGAAGGTGGTACTGAAGATTCCTTTCTACGTGGAGACAACACTCAAGTGAGTTGAAATTTTTCATGTTCAGTTTCTCTTTTATAGAATTTCTAGGTAGTGGCAACCGATACCTGTAAAAATATAGTTTATTGGGTGGCAAAAC